CTAGAATCCCATGCATCCAAAACCCAAGTCCTAAATAATCCAAAGGCAATTCAAATGGAAGACATCTGTGATGTAAAATCAACATGACCCACCAGTGATGTTATATATCCTTGATAGGAAAGGGGTTCCAAGTAAGTAGAGGGCAGGAAAGGTTACTCTTGTCTTCAAAGTGCATATAAAGCAAGAGAAGAGGCCTCTCCAAACCAGCCCAGATACCACAAATGTACAAGTCCCAAACTCTATCCTCAAGTAGTATGCAATCTAAGGAAACACATCAGAGAGATTCCATGTATGTATTAACCTTTACATTCTGCACTTAATCACAACCAGCTTAGTATTTTACTCTCAGGTCATTCTCTTACACACATGCAGAGTTCAGTAACAGTTTTGCATCATTTTTTCCCATTTCTACCAGGAAAGACCCTCCAACCAGCCCCTAGCACTCACATCAACTTGGGTCTTGAAATGAGATCTATCTACCTGGCCTGAAGCCATCTGTAAACTTGAAGATTTTAGACCCATTATGGGAAGTCCTCCTCCTTATAAGATTCCAATGACAAACCAAAGTACAGCTCCACCAGTGTTCACCCTGGGTAATCAAGGAGTTTATTGGGTTCACTCAAAGGGCATTAGTGGGGGCTATGGCCAGGATCATGGATGATGGCTTCCCCACAGCCCACAGACAGAGCCTCCAGGTGGACCTTCCCCTGTCTATTTACTCTAGTCCCTCCAGAGACCCCCTAGGCCACAATTAAGATGGATTGCTTACAAATGTCTGGGAGGAATGGCTGGAAACTCAGGTGAGAGTTCAATAGCACTCCCTAACCTCTCCTCCTGTTGAAATAAGAAAAATAAATTGTATTCTATCCATCTATTTTGTGGTTTTGTAGAACGTGGTCTATTGACAAAAACTGCTACCATCTTCATGATGAGATCAGCAGGGCTTCCATGCAAGAATCCAACAGAATTAAGACAACTTTCTCCCAGAGATCTCCAGAGGATGATTCTTCCTCAGATCCCAATGAGCATAAAATGGGCAGCCAGACCCAGCTCACAGCACTAAAGACAGAAGGTAGCCCAACCATTCATCTGTGTCAGGAGGAGGTCCCACTTCCCAAGTAGAGGGAGAGGAAAAGCACAGGGCAATTACCCTGACAAGTGTGTAGCTTGCAGTAGCGGAAAAGAGATTTACAAGCTAAGCCTCACTGTGTCAGCACGTCAATCACACAATGTCAGCAGAGACATTGACTTACCACCACAGTTCTGTTCTGTGGGTCAGGCACTGGAAATCTGATCAGTCCTCTGTGCTCCCTGAAGGCACAGCATATGGCCCAGAAAATTAATTAAAGCTTCTTTGGAAACACAAAATTCTGTTGTTTAACAAGTAAAACTAACTTCTCTCTCCTCCCTGCCATCTCAGAACACTTGTACAAAGTCAATCTTCAGAGTAAGAGTTCCACATTCTTTCCAACTGTCTTAATTGAAAAAGTTCCCTCTGGTCCCTCTCAGCTGTTTCTTCAATCTACAGGAAATGCATTTGATTAATGATTGTGTAAGTACATTTCCAGTCAATGACCACTATCATTGGACAGGGTGACCTCAGAGCTGCAAACACGAAGACCACCAATAACTCTTAACTAAGTCTTTTATTGTAAAAGGGGGGGTCACTGGGATGAGAAGAAGAGGCTTTGCTGAATACTGCAGTTGCCACGTAGTTAAATGATAGAAGTTCGATCCTTTGCAAGACTAGAAGAATAAACTTAATCCTATTAAGCAGAAGAGGCAAAATGAAAGCAACAGAAGCAGCAAAGCCTGGGTACAAGAACGGAAGGCATAAAACGAAGGCAGCTGTGCTCTCCTATTCCCAGTCCACTTCTCACCCTTTTCTGCCAACCTCAGGTTACTAAGATATTCATCACTAACCTAGAAAGCCTCATTTTCCAGCTGAATTCCCAGCTCCTTCACTCTGATCTAACATCTTAACCATTCACCCAACCTACTTGGCTCAGGCTTACCAGCTGTCCATCGTTTCTTCATCTTCCTTAAAATTTCAGCCAGACTCTGTCACTTGCTGTGATATAATGGGATGTCTTAGGTGTCAACTTGGATTAGCTAGTCCCTAGTTATTATGTGGAACACAAGGTGACTGTTACCATTAAAGCATCTTGTAGATGTGATTAGAGTCCATCATCCATTGACCTTAAGTAAGAGAGAGACTCCTAGATAAGTCAAGGGGCTGATTGAACTGGCTGAAAAGTCTTAGAACTGAGGTTTCCCTGATGAAGATGAGATTTCACTGCAGGCTGCAGCCTTAACCCAGAGCTGAGCCCTGCCTGCCCCTCTGGAAGGACTGCACTATGGTTTTTGGACTTGCCCAGCCAGCTCCCACAGTCACACAAGCCAAATCCTTGCAATAAATCTCTTAAGATGCATCTCCTACTGCTTCTGTGCTTTTCTGATTGAACCTTAACTGAGATATATAATTAGGATGTTTTATTTAAGTCCACTCATATCCCATTAAAATAAATTTATTTTATGCACAAAAATTGATATCCATGACATAAGTAGAAAACTAGTATCACCTTCCATAATGGAAGCAAATTTGGAAGACAAATACAATAAAAAAAAAAACAGGGCCATGAAATTCCAACTAGATGTCATTGCCTTCTGAAGACTCCAAGTCTATCCTGCTGACATTAAAGAGAAATGGGAATGAGTTGGCTTGGTGCTGAGACATGCATACATCAAACACAAAGTCTCAAGGAGATGCTGGTTAGAAGAACTGAAAGGATTGAGAGGGAAATGCACTCTCACCAGGACTCCATGTTATGTTATGTTATGTATATGAATCTCTGAAATCATCTACTGCAACTAGAGGTTCCCATCTTCCACTTGTGGATCCAAGATTCAGGTTGTAAGCAGGTGACCTGAGAGCACATGGAAGAATTCCCTTCACCAAGATGATACAATGTCTGTAGAAATTACCATTATTTAACTGCAAGGGCAATGTTCCTCCCAGAGGACCATGGAATAAACCAACCTTCCCTATTTTTACTATGTACCCCAAATTGATGGTCCAACAAAAGGCTCCCTAGTGATATATGAGGATGGCAAGTTGGCATCCTCTATCAGCAATGGAAGCATAGGAACCACAGTGTCTCTTCTTCCCTGAGAAACTGGAGGAGTCATCACTTCAAAGTTCTCAAGCTATGGTTTCACAGACACTATGTGACAAAGGTAAAGGTTCCATGCCCCAGGAAGTGGTGGCTGTCATGTTTTCCTAAGCAATGACGGATCTTTGCCATCCATGGTGCCACTGTTGCTTGGGCCTTACCCTCCAAGCACAGTAAGTCAGTTTGCAATATGACCTCCAGAAGTCTTTTTCTAATCCTCTGCCTTCTTACAAGACAACTTCTTGAAGAATTGCACATAAGTAGACTTGTGAGAAAGACATAATAGATCCTCCTGAGGAAGGGAGTGCAATATATTTGCATAATTCAAATATGGGACAAATAATGGGAAGAAGATGGACTCCAGGGTCTGGTGGGAGAGATCATAGTCCCAGCTCTTGTCTTTCTTAGAGCTGAGATTCCATGGCAAATTCCTTAAATTCTCTGACCTTTCATCTTTCCATCTGTGATATGGACCCAATAATAGAATTGTGGTGGATGTCTAATGTTTCCTCTCCTTTGAGTCAAATGAGCCTTCTTTTCCTTAAATGTACCATTTCCTCCTATTCCTGGTCCATGGATGGGGATGGTAGGGTAAACCCTGCTCCTTTCCCCAAGTATTTAGAGTGTACATATTTATTATCTCTCACAACTTCAGCCAGACTCTGTGTCACTGGCTGAGACAGAGTGGAATGTATTAAGTGTCAGTTTGTACAATCGGCCCCATCTTCTTCCTTGGCTCGGGAATGAACAGGTGAGCAACATTGTGGGTACACAGACAATGTTGGAAGCACTGGGCAAAAGGCCTAGTCTTTTATTTTAATTTCTAGGCTGGTGGGGTATAAACTGGAGCCACTGGTGGCCATTTTTTGCCACCGTTCAGGGAATTTCTCTAGAGAGCAAAGTCAATATAAAAAAATAGCAAAGCAGAGAGAGACAGAGAGAGAAAAGAGAAGAGAGAAAGAGAAAGACACAGATCTGATCATATTATTTGAGCACCTGCACCCAACGAAGCCTAAAGTCGTCAAGATCTAACCCGAGATCGGTTTTAGATTCATATTACAATAAAACTAGCTTGAACATCAAAGAGAAGAGAAGTGAATTTAGTGTCAGTTGCATCCTAAACAAGTAGCTACACAAACATTATATGGAAGATCATAAAATCACTGAGTACAACCTGGCATGGTAAACCCTTGATAAATACTATTATTTCGGAACCTTAAACAAAACCATGCATTTAAAACTCTCTTCCATTTGCTCACAGAGGGTAAATACTATGAATACATGGTATTTGCTAATCCTCCATCGTGACCACCCAGAGCAGCAATTCAGTCATCCAACCCAACCAGTTTGGCTTAAATGAAGCAGATATATTTCTGAAGTCCTACACCTCAGGATCTGGAGATGAGAAGTTAGCACACCAAACGAACTATATCTTGTGTGTGGTAAAGCTCATTGCTGTAAACACTCAGAACGGTGTGGTTAGGCAGCCCCAGTAGAGCTACTCAAATGGGAAATTGTATTGTTACTGGTTACGTTGGAGAAAGCTCTGAAAAGCAACTACTGTATTGCTGCAGAAGCTGAACTTTTTTAATAGGAGGGAGATCAAGAGGGGAAATTTTCAACTAAAAATCCATATTTAGCTGTTGCCAAGGATTATTTATGACACACAACTGTGCTCCGACTTTATGACAAGAGAGATTTATTAATTACTTTTTTGAAGATTGATGTATTTAACCATTCTTCCAAAAATACAAAAATGGGGCGGGGGAAACAGATGGAAAATGACAAGATGCATCAGTTGCTCACATCATTTCACAGCAGCGGCAGTCAGAAGTAGAAGTCAGTCCACGCGCGACTGCACTTCCATCTTGGCACTCCTCCACCAATGGCAGGCGTCACCTTGCATGTGTTCTTGCTGCAAACAAGAATATCCACTAGAACACAAAAATAATTTGAAAACAAAACATTACAAGACAGATATGCCTATAAACTCTCCTCTTTTTACAATTAGTTTTATTTTTTAAATACTTTTATTATTTTTTATTTTATGTGTTTGAGTGTTTTGCCTGCATGTGTGTAAGTGCACCCACATCATGTATGCAATACCCACGGAGGTTGGAAGAGGGCATCAGGTACCCTGGAACTAGAGTTACAGATGATTGTTAGCCACCATGTGGATGCTGGGAATTGAACACAGGTCCTCTGCAAAGAGCAGTCAGTGCTCTTAACTACCGAGCCATCTCCCCAACCTCAATTAATTTTATTTTAAAAACTATCCTTATAAAATCTCCATTGTATATATTCATTGTAAATGGTGCTATAGTATTTGAGGACATTTTCATACAACTGCTCATCATATATTGAGCACATTCTTCCCACATCCCCTACTGTCTCCTTTCACAGCCCTCACATCAGCCCTCTTGTTCTCCTAGAGTTTCATTTGTATGTTCATGCCATGTATACATGTGTGATTTGATGTCTATAAAATCTAAGAATCATGAATGACAGAAAATATTTGTCTGAAACTGGCTTCATACATTTAGTATGTTCAGTTGCACCCACTTTCCCACAAATGGCATGACTTTATTCTTCTTTATGACTGAAAAAATTCATATATAGAAATATTCATTTTCTTTATCCATTCCTCTGTTCTTGGACACCTAGGACACATAACTCATCTATTTTATAAATAGCGTTGCAATAAACATAGATGTACAAGTATTTCTGTGAGGTATTCATTTGGGGTCCTTTGGGTAAATGTTCAGGAACAGTATAGCTGGGACATATAGTAGATCTACTTCTAGTTCTTTGAAGAATCTCCATACTGATTTTCAAAGTTGATGAACTAGTTTACATTCTGATCAATAATGTATAGGTTCCTTTTTGTTCACATCTTCACCAGCATTTGCTGTTGTTTGTGTGTGTGTGTGTGTGTGTGTGTGTGTGTGAGCGTGCACACACATCCATGCAGAGGCCAGAGGTTAGTGTCTTCCTCAACCACTGTTCACTTTATATTTTGAAACAATCTCTCACTGAACCTTGAGTTCATCAATTTGGCTAGCTGGCTGACCAGTAAGTCCCAAAGATCTTCCCATCTCTGCCTCCCCAGCCCTGAGATTCCAAGTGCTCACTACCAGGCCCAGTTATTTATGTAGATGCTAAAGATCCAAAACCAGGTCCCAATGCCTGTGTAGCAAGAACTTTACCAATGGACCAACACCCCCAGTCTGTTATTTGTTTTCTAAGGACTGCGGGGGTGAGATGAAATTTCCATGTAGTTAGGTTGCATTTCTCTGATGGCTAGTAAGGTTGAAATTTTTTTCATATTTATTGTCCATTTGTGTTTCATCTTTTGAAAACTGTTCGTTTTGTTACCTATTGTTTTTTATTTCTTGATTAGGTTTTAAGTTTGTTGTATATTCTATACTAGATATTAATGCTCTGTCAGATGTGCAACTGATAAACTATAGGTGATCTTTCTGTGAGCTCTAAATTCCTTCAAGGTCTATGCCATGGGCAGACCGTTTATGAGACTGGCTGTATCCTACTAAGGTAAGGACAAGGGGAAGATAGAAAACCAACACCTACTGAGAATGAGCAGTTACTATGTGAATTATCTCCTTTAATCTTCACCTCCAACCCATATGAAAGGTAAATAGTAACAGATCTTAAATCTTAAAAGGTGAAGAAATGTATATCAGGTAACACTAGAAATGACAAGGACAACTCTGTCAGACTGTGAAACTTGTAATCTTTCTAATACCTGGTGCTTGATACCACTCTCCACCCAATTAATCTGTTCTCTTCCCTCTCTTGATTCCTTATTTTTTCCTATAAGAACTGAAGCTCAACAAGGATACAGATATGGTCTCCCTTATTCCTGATGCAGGAAAGAAGGAAGGAAAGTGGGTCCCATCAGAACATTGCTCCCCTGTGGCTTATAACTCTGAGAGCCCCTGAGGGATAAAATGGAGCTTAGATATGAATATTGACAGAATTTTTGAATGGTTTTCCTCTCTTTTTTCTTTCAAGCCTTTGGAATGCATGAGAACTGTATGCAGAGTAAAAGTATCCAAGCAAAATCTAGATTGACAAGAGAATAAACTTACTATCTGCCTGGCACTCTTGTAATCATTTCATGTAAATTACCTCAGTATCCATAGCATGCTGTGAGGTCTTCTCACCAGAGAAGACCACTCAGACACAGAAAATAGCCAAAATAAAGTCTTTATAGCCAGCCGGCAACTACACTCAGCATTTGAGTTCCAAGCACACCCCTTATGGTAAGCTTTTATACAGAATAACCACATCCAGGGTTGAAAAGTTTAGGTTCCCAATCTTAGGGGTGGAAAGCCCCCCTAACAATTTCTCTTCTTCAAGAGAACAATTTCTATTCTACAAGAGCAAGCCAAGCAAAACGTACAGAAGCCATGAATCTGCTGTTAGCAGGAACAACCAGGTGCATGCTAACCTGTTCTCAAACCCACACTTTGGTGCAGCTGGGTCAAACTTTTCCATTCCAACATTTGAGTTAACTGCCTCTAGCTTCAACTACTGGGTTTACCTGGGGCTTCCTTGTAACATGGTGTAGCTATGGTCAGTCTTGATAACACCACAGTAAGTACTATTATTTTTACTTTAAAAATGAGCCTTAAGGTTCAAAGAGGTGAAGTCACATAACCAGAGTAAATGCTATAAACCAAGGCAGTTGGCTCCAGAGCCCATGCTTGAATCCATCGCATTAGACCTCAGCAAGTAAGTACTTTCCATCAACCATTTTCCCCCTAGATTTGGGGCACATCTGGCTGAGAAAGTTTGTTCAAAAGAACAAAGAATTAAGGAATAAAAAAGAGAGGTTTCCCAAGTCCTCTCCCAACATGACCAATGAGTGTTGGGATGAAGTAGAGGCCTCACATACATCTGCCCATCAGACTGTCTTCCAGTCTGGCCCCCAAAGACCCACATAAACCCTGTCAATGGAGGATAAAATAATTGGGCCCTCATATATCAATATTGCTAAAACTCTGACAAACTCAGTTGCTAGAGGAGGCACCACCTTGACGCCGACATCACCCTCCACTTACAGGGACTGGCCAGCCACACACAGACAGCAGAAGGCAGAAGCAGCTGTGGAACTGGAGGCAGAGTGGCCACTGTCTACATCCCCAGACCTAAAGCAGTGCAGACAGCAGATGTCTTGAGTTTCCAAGAGATGAGATCTGTGCTCACTGGTCCTTGCAGGAAGCTGGCATTTCCAGAGTACGTTAGGTAGTGCCAGAGCTATTCTTTTTCCTCTATATCAATACTCTACTTTTACCCCATGCTGATGCAATCTAGAAACTAGTACAATCTTTATCCAGAAAATAAAAAAACATAATAAATCAAGTATCAGGCAGGTACATATGTATTGTTACACACACGGGTTTGTAGACATGTATATGTACAGACCTGTATGTTCACATTTCCTTTATCCAGGAATTCAATGGGTATACAGTTTCTTCATCCCTGAATTAATGAGTCACTTGAAAAAGCAGAAATTCAATTCTTGCAGTGATTTCTTCAGCTTAGCTGAATAGAGAACATCTTAGAAAAATCTTTCAAAAAGAACCACATAACCACAGAGGATCAAGACTCTGGGATGTACCACATGCTTGCTGCTCTTGGGGTTCTTAAGGGTCCTGCCCAGCCTACGTGCTAATGCCTTTGACTCAGAACAAGTTCATCTACTTATTTCCTTCCTTCCCATCCCACTGCAGCAAACAGCAATAGACATAGCAAGCCCTCATCCCACAGTTGGAAGTTGAGAATTAACAAGTACTCTCTCAGGGCCACCTCCTGTGCCCCTGTCTGCTTCTCCCCTGGGAACCACAATTCTCAGTTCTAGAATGATCTGTAGAGATGAAATGATCTGAAAATTGAGTCAAGATCAGGAAATCAGTGTTGACAACAACATGGAGGTCTCCTGTTCCATCGATCCTTCAGCAAATGTTAATTGAGCACTTATAGAATGCCAAGCAGTTCTTCACCCTGGTGGAAGGTCACCGATGATATCAGATTGCTTCCTTAGCTGTCAATCTCCTCTTTTTGTACAGCTCTAACTGCTTAGAAATTTCATTCACAGACTGAATCAAAATTTTCCTCTCCCCATCATTTATCTCCTTTGCTTTGAATGCTCATTTAGATGGCATTATAATTAAATTGGGAGGATTTAAATATGAAAACAAAATTTTAAATGCATAGAAAATAAAAGGATGGGTGAGCATAGAATCACAAGTCAAGAGGGATTTCTCTAGGTATGACACCAAAGAAAAATTTTGACAAATCTGCTGACATAAAATCTGAAATAAACATAAACTACATCAAGACAATAAGTAAACCAAAAGGAAAATTTATCTAGCTAGATGACAGAAGGATAGCAGTACTAATATTAAACTCTCAAAGTAAATAAGACTACATAATCAGCTGGGGAAAAAAGGAGCAAATACAGATAATTGATGAGATTAAAAATGTCAAATAAGAAAGACAAAAGTTTAACCTTCCTTATAATTCAAAATATACAAATTAAAACAAAATACCATATTTCACTTATAAATAGGGCAAAGTGTTTAAAATCAAAATGTCAAGTACTAGGGAAACTGGTTCTCTACACAATGGGGTTGCCTAGGGCACCATTGACTGAAAACATCAACAAATAAACTCTGTAGTCCTTCAACTTTACAGTGTCTACTTATAAGACTTTATATTAAACAGATATTCAAGAAGTATACCAAAAAAATGCATTTACAAGGAAAATTATTCTAGGATTCATTATATTAGAGGAAAAACTGGGGGGGGCATGTACAAACATAACTATGTAAGTATGGCAAATCTCTAAAACCAACTATTTTGCAACATTTAAAAATAGTGTGTGTCCCTGGACAGGACTTGTGGTGGT